AAAGCATGAAGCCAAATAGATGTAATATTTTACAGACAGATAGGTTAATGTTATCAGTATGTAAGTGGCAGCTGGATTTGTGCAGGATTTTGTTTTGTCTAAAATTGACAGATATGTAAGCCAAAATCTGAAAGACAGATAAGGCAACAGCTCATTTGCTACTGGTTTTGCTGTATTGAGAAGAGCTGTATCTGTCCTCTATTTGTCGGACTAGAAGCATAAACCAGAGAGTGTAATGCTATTGATACACTCAGATCCTCCTCTTTTGCTTATGCATTATGAATAGCAGAGCTTAACTGGGTAGTGACATGCTTTAATCTCTAAGTCAGCACAATAAATTTTGCTCTTGATTATGTACTTGTTACTACCTCAACACCAAAGGAACACAAAAGTGTGAACAACGTTTGGGCTGTTTGGCCTGGAGTGGAAACACCCGACTAAACTTGCGCTTCTGTTGGGTAACTTATTTCCAAAGGCTCAAAGCTGCTAATCTCCAAACTATATTGCACATTTGACCAGTAAATTAGAACAAATTATTTATTGTGTATACCTCAAGTAAACACACCACTGGAAGAAACGACAATGTCCTAAACATTACCAACTTCAGCTTATGCTATGCAAATTAATGTTTCACTGTACACTACAGACTGTTTTTATTGTTAGACTTCCTTGTTAAGTGCATTCCTAAGCTTATTTTCAAAACTAATTCTCTTGAGTAATTGAAAGTAAATTATGTAACTCTCCATTTTGTCAATTGTCCAGAGAATTTGGTTAACTCCAGTAGCACTTAGAGATTTTAATATTAATGTTATTGTAGGATTTTCTTAGAAGTTACATTGCAGTTACTGCTGCAATAGTTTATTGGGGCACTGGGAAGTCCAAAGACTGAACTTTTGAAACTTGGAAGCAAACAGATGCAACAAGGCCTGGATTTTCTTGGCTTACAAAGTGAGTAACAGAGCTGCCCTGTGTGTGCTGCTGCCGACAAGCTGAGTAGGATTTCTTTTGTTTCAGTCCATGAAATCTGGGTGTATTTCAACAGTTCTGAGCAACTTCTGCTTCAGCAAAAATCAGCAAAACTGTTCATGTTGGAGAAGCAGCAAAGTAAGGTCTGACTACTAAAATGTAAAAATTAGGCTACAATATTATTAAAGATCCGACAGAGATACCACTCTTTACTGAAACAAAAGTCCTAACAACCCAAAACTCTCTTTGAAATAATAGTTAAATTGTCCCTTGGTGAAAATAAGTCCCTAAATAAAAATAAGAAAAATAAATGAATATTAATAATAATATCATATTAATATTAAAAATAAAAAATAGCAGTGATGGCTCAGAAGAAAGATGTCCTGTCCAACCCAATGTCCTGTCTCCAGCAGTGTCAATAGCCAATAGCTATGGAAAATGGTAGGAGTAGAAAATGTAGTGAGATTGCTCTGGTGGATTTACCAAACTTCCAATGATTTACAGTTCAGAAGTCACCTGAGCTGGAGTTACTTCTTGTGAGTGGTTGTTTTACTTTGGACAGCAGCTTAATGTATCCAATATTATGTCCAAGGCTTTTGTCTTTACCTACCAAGACTGAAACCTCACCAGCGTGTGCAAGGGCTTTCCCTGATCCTTGAAGCTGGGTTTTATTCCTGCTCACACCAAGCTGATGGAGCTGCAGGAGGTGCTGCTCTGAACTGAAGACTCACTTCATCTGGAGATCTGATGTAGCTGCATTCTGCATGAGTCTGAGAGTTCACACATAAATTGAATATTCTCCTGACAGCTCCTGAGAGCTGACACAGTAGCAAAGCACCCATCTGCTTTCTAAATTCTGGTCCAAGTGCAAGTGCACATCATGATTTTTGGGGAGCAACCTGAGTGTATTCTGCTGATTACTTATTTTTCTTCTACTAAATTAGTTTTGCCTTTCTTTTTTCATTTCTCATAGAAGAGAGAGAGAGTGAATTGAATAGGATGAAAAAAATTTCTGCATTTTTGCTTTCATGAGAACAGGGAGAAAGCAAATCCTTTAATTAGGCATGAAAAATGATTTTTCATTCTCAGATAAGAAGAAAAAATCTTCTCCAGTTTTTCAGGTTTTTTTTTTTGTTTTTTTTTTTTTTTTTAAGGATAAACTTTGCTAGTTTTGTCTCTCATTCTTACATAAGAAACAGTAACCCTAAAGAAAAATCTTTTTGGCATCCCAAAATCAGGGCAGTATTAAATGAGGGTTTATACTGTTCATGGACTCCTCCTACACACAAATCCCTGGGAGTGATGATAGACCTCAAGAAAAATTATTTTACCTTAAATTCCAGAATAAAATGTAGAGGAGACAGAAACTCATTCTACATTGATACAATGGAAACTTAGTTTTAACAGATACCCCTTTAATGCCTCTAGTTATGGAAATTAAATAAGCAATAAAGGCACACATTGTACTTGTGCATTATGATGGATTGCTCAGCTCTTGGTCTCCTTGATTTTATTTTTATCCTTCTTTTCAGCACCTATTTAATACCCTAAAAATTACCACAATCAGATGTCTGTTATTTACCTGGGAAAAAAAAAAAAAAAAAGGGGAAAAAGATAGGGAAAAAGATATTTTCCCTCCAGATTTTACCTCCAGATTTGACTTTGTACCACTGAGTGTGGATATTGTTCATAATAGTCGAAAAATATGCATATATTTTGGAGCCTACTTGTCTGTATAAACACCAGTATTGAATACTACCTTTGTTATTGCTGTATCTATTAAGAATAAATAAATACAGTGTATAATGAAAAACAAACAGTCCTTAACTGAAAATAAACACAGCATATAATACTTATGAATAGTGACAATATTCTAAAACACTAATTGAATTCTTACCTTTTCCCTTGCTGAATATGCTACACATCAAATATTACTTTAAGTCTAAATTTTTTGAGAAGATGATGATGGATCTATTGTATTCTTGCTAAACTGACTACAAAGAGCAAGTAACTTTACTTGAACACTTTAATAGGGCAAACACCACGAAAATAGGTGATGGTGAGAAAGCTTTGGGAAAAGAGATTATACTTATTTGCCTTTTTGTAGCAGTGGGCTGCATACCACAGCTGCAATGAAGGAAACATTCCAGTTGAGCAGCATTCCTCTGTATCTTTTCAAAGTCTCTGTGGAGGCTAAAGTAGGAATCACTTATTTGCGGTTGAGAAAATAGCAGGGACTTCTGCATTAAATTTTAAATATCTTCTGCCCAGAGGATGATAAGATGTTTAAATCAAATGATGAGACATTACCCATCTAAGCAATGCATTAGGAGTATGAAATGGGATTCAGCATGCTGTGAATTCTAAACTCCTGTAGTCAGCAAAGAATCATAGACTCACACAATACCAGGTTGGAATTACCATATTATCCTCAAGGATAATACAGTCCATTCTTTCTTGGTGAAAGTACAAACTAGACAATATGGCCCAGCACCCTGTCCACCCTGAATTTTAGAAGTGTCCATGGCCTGTTGATCTCAAGAGTACATGATGACATTTTAACTTCTATAATAAAATAATACAAAGATGACAGTGAATTGTTCACCAAAATTCATTCGAGCAGTTTTCTACTTGCTGGATTGATTTGCAGATTACCAGAGCTCAGCCAGCTTAGAGATGGAAAATAGCCTGTATAACTATTTCTTCAGTATAAAGGCTAGGTAATTTTAAAAAGTATTTTGTATTAGATTTATACTATGTTTAAGTCACAGAATTTGTTAGAAGGTGCTTTCCCCATTAATTTTTTACTGCCATCAATTCCTTCCTCTAAGAACACTGAAGATCTAAAGTGTGATGAGGATATGTGGGAGGAATTCTTTGTCCTCTGAATAAAGTGAGTACAGAAGATAATCACATTTCTTAACAGCCAAGCCCTTCAACAAGCGCAGAAATACACTTCTTGAAGAGATGTTGAGTCCTAAAGTGGCAATCTACACTCCTGCAACTCCCAGATAACATTATGTCAAACTGTCATGCAAAACCTGAATTTACGCCTAAGAGACCACACCAAAAATTTACGTTTTTTTACTGTTTCAAAGCTACTCCAATGTATAATGTCCTTAAAATGTGTTTCTCTGTAGACCTTGTAACAGTATGTGGCCATTAGGCGAGTCACTGGAGTTGCTTAATTAAGCACCTCCACTCCCCGTTTTAACACACTGCAACAACATCTGACATCATCTGACAAACTCCTCCCCGTCCTGCCAAGTGCCCGTGCCAGCGAGGTGAGTCAGCTGCGTGTTTGCTGCATCATCCCTCTGACAGACAGCACTACCAGGGAGGATTAAATAACTACACACAGAATAAAGCTGAGTTTCAGCATCATCTCTATCTTAAATGCAAGAGAGGGTCATCAGCCCTGTCTAAAATGGCATTGCAGTTTGGCTGAACATATTCCACGGCTTTTGGGGAACTGGCTCCAATATTCCAGTGCTCTCCAGTGCAGCTCTAAACACACCATGGAAGGATGAGATTCTGAACTGCAGGAAGGCAGATCTAATGTTCAAAAAGAAAAGCCCCTTCTGTTGTGAACTTCCACCAAACACAGCCATAAGCAATAAGCAAAAACAGGACTGGGATTCTGAGACGTGATTACTTGATTCCCATGCAACCTGCTGTAATTCGATAATTTGATTTTTTCCAGAATATGCTAATATGGAGTCATTTAGAAGACTCTGAAAGGTCTGCTTAACCCTCAACGAGGTTCCCCATCCCTGACCAATTTAATGAATTTATGACAATTCATTAAAATCAGAAAAAACTAGATTTAAATTGACAGAATTGGGAAAATGTATTGCTAATGGCTTTTGTTTCATAGAATCATAGAGGAATTGGCACAAAAGGCCCAAGAGAATTATTTGTTTGCCTCAGAAATCAGCTACTGTCCTCCTTCCACTGTCGTGTTGATTTTTTTCATAAATATTTTTATTAAACCCAATGACAGTATAATAAATCTATTCAGAAAATCTACTTACAATGGCACTTACTGTCATTCTTGATTTAATTATCCTCTTTGAAGAATGACTGCTTGTAGGGTGAAGGTGATTCTCTCCCATCTATCTTCCTCTCTATAATCCCCTAAACCAAACATAATTCTGAAGAAATAAAATAAAAAATGTTTAGGCTCTGACAGTGCTCCTGTTCTTAGTGTAATTGGGATGTGCACAGAGGGACTAGAAAATACCTGTAAAGGACAGTAGCTGGAGACTGAGGATGACACAGAATGCTCCATCTTCTACTTGATTGTAGTTTATTACTGCATTTGTTACCCGTAAAAAATAAAATGGAGGGAATATTTCCCTGAAGGTACAAATAAAAGACATTATTTGCTATCAACAAGTGAAAAAATAATCATCCACTATCAGACTAAAACACAAATTATTAATTATGATGATTACATTATCAGTAGTTGGCACAGTGAACTTGCAGAACAAAAAATACAAAATTAAACTACCAGAACATTTCTGAAGTTGGACAAGAAACTGAAACAAAATGTTATTTGTTCTCTTCTCAAATGTCTTCCTTATGTTCCTCAGAACCCCAAGCAATTGCAGCTGTTGGGAGAACCAAAAGCCACTTTCACTGCTGCCAGCCACACTCCCAGACACCCTGAAGGAAACCCACAAGCCACAACTTCATCACTGAGGTTCTTCAGAGCTCAGCCATAACTTCAGCAAAACTACAACAGAAAAGCATTTTCTTCATAAAGAATTAGACTTCCAGTGTTCTCTTGCTTCCATTTTCTACCCTGGTCCTTCACTGGTAGTTACTCTGACCAGCAGTGTCTTCCTTTTGGCTGGAAACCATGAAGATTTAAACTGTAACGGCAAAAATGTAATTTACTGGACAAGCTTGGACAAAGAAAAATAACATAGAAGGAATTTTTTAAAGTAGGGTGCAAATTGGGATGTCCTGGAAAACACAGGAAGGACTGGGCATATCTGAGGTTTCCCCTTACATTCCTGCTGGGACAGTCTGAGTAACCTGGAGGCCACTTCATGGTCAGGAGATGTGTGTGTGGCTGGGACACTGTGGCAGGATAACAGAACTGAGACCTCTGTGAGGCAAGAGAATGGTGCTGGACAAGATTTTCAGCTTTTTGTAACTGATCCAGATGGAATTCAGACAGAACACGTTAAAGCAAACCAAATTCTTCTATTAAGAAATTACTCATTAACTTCTATTTTAAGCCAATTTTAATTCAAAATCATTTATGCTAATGATTTAAAATAAAAAGGTATAAAAAGAGATTATGGCACATTGCTGATTTCAGTTTATTGATTTGTTTAAACAAACTAAAATGTTTTAATTGATCTTTCAAAAGAATTTGAATAGGCCCCAAGAATATTTATCAGAAGGATCTATGTAGCTCATCCTAAATCCTTCAGTAGTGTCCTCATGATCCATGTTCAATATGGAGGAGTTATCTGACAGGCATGGAAGATAGAGCATCCTGGCACGAAAGTGCATAAACCTGTATGATATACCCTGGATGCTCAAAGACTGCCATTTTAAATGTATTTATTTCCATTTGTGTGGGGCTTTCTGAAAAACGATTCCCTGATCTCTGCCAAATTACTTTAAGAGACTATCCACACTACATTTCTAAAAGAAACCTTCAGCTGAATTCCCCCTTTTATACCCCTTACACAATTTTTCCTACTCTAAACTTTTAGCTAAAATGAAATATCTAAAATTCTGGTGTGTATTTCTTCCCAAAATAAGAGTCAAAGAGAACAGAGAACTATTAAGATATTCAGTGTAAACCGAAGTTCAGGAAATTCAGCCTCTGGCAAACCAAGGTAAATAAAAAGATATTCTGTGGAGAATTTCCTGTTGCGGATGCTCTGCCCACACACAGGTTTTTCAGGGTGAAGCCAAGAGGGTTTTTTTTCCATGAGTTCTTTGCATTGTTTCAACTTCTGTTGCATAATAGAAGGAGTGATCTGAGATAATAAATCTTCAGTCCAGCTACAGCTTTAACTGGCAGCACTAGTAATGTTCTGGCACCATCTGATGTTTTTTGTTTTGCTTGCCTGGGTATAATCTCTAGGCAGTTCTGCTTTGTTTAGTCAGTGAAAATAAAGAACAAAACCAGACTACCAGGGTCATATGCAGTTTGGAAAAAAATATTGTCTAAATTAACAAGCCGGATTTCAAAATCAGATTGTGCATTAGGTACCCTAAATTGGTAACCCCACACATAAACACACCACCAGGGGACTCCGAGAAGTATCAATGTTCCAAATTCCCATTGGTGACAAACTAGTGTATGATGTGACACGTGATAGGGGGAGACAATTAGAAATCTGGAATATTTCTTATTTCCTAAAACCAAACACAGTGATTCTTTTTCACTAAAGGGGTAATTTTCTATTAAATTTTGGCTAACTTAATATAAAGTTGCAGTGTTGTGAGACACTAAACCTACTTCAGCCCAACTATAGAGGAATTTAAATAGTAAAATAATAAAAAAGGACTATAAGGGGGAAATGAAAAAATGTTACTAATGAACATGCTAGACTGCATGATAAACACAAACCTCATGGTAAAACCACTACTCCTGCTGCTTTATTGTTGATCCCTAGGAAGGAACATGAGTATCCCTATGGGTCCTTTGAAGTTTTCATGTTAAAGTACAGCTCAAATTCTGTACTTATGTCAGAGGAGATGAGTGCCAAAATCATGCCTTGTGCTGAACAACAGATTTGCAATTGTCCGTAGCTCCTGGGGAATTCATTCCACATTCTTGGATCAGTCCACAGGAAAGCTGCGTCACATTGAAGCCTTGACTTTTAAAGGTCATCTCGACTCATGCTCCACTATGGACGTGGAGCACTTTGAAGAGAAGCCCCCTCAGATTCAATTGTTACGCCTACTTTGGTTTAAACTTAAGGCACTTTGGACACGCATAAAAGCCGAGCGGCAGAGGGGACAAGTACACCAGCGAGAGATGCTCAAGGCTTCCAAGCGGTGCCAAGTATTTTAGAGACGAACTAAAAGGTTCCAAAGTGCTCTAGGGGACAGGATGACGCCCTCACACTCCGCAGCGCCAGCGCGCCGTGCCCTCACGGCACCGCCTCGGAGCCCTCACGGCACCGCCTCGGAGCCCTCACGGCACCGCCTCGGAGCCCTCACGGCACCGCCTCGGAGCCCTCACGGCACCGCCTCAGAGCCCTCCCTCGCGCCTCGCCCTCTGCCTTTCCCGGGGCCGTGAGGAGCAGCCGCGGGGCTGGAATCCCTCAGGCAGTGCCCTCAATCCCCGCATCCCAAACTCCATCTCTCCGGACCCCGGGGCCGGCCCCGCCGGGCTCCGCTCCCCTCACGGCCCCGCCCCGCTGCGCGCGCAAACACCGCCCCCGGGGCAGAGCGGCCCCGTGGCCCCGCCCCGCCGCTGCGTGCCCCGCCCCTCCCCGCCCGGCGGCCGCCGAGTCTCTCCCCCGCTCCCCTCACCGAACGCGCGGCGTGCGCGGCGGTGCCGGTCCGGTGCTAAGATGGCGTCTATCATGGAGGGCCCGCTGAGCAAATGGACCAATGTAATGAAGGGCTGGCAGTACCGGTGGTTCGTGCTGGACTACAACGCGGGGCTGCTCTCCTACTACACGGTGAGGGGCGGCGGGCGGGCCGGGCGGGCGAGGAGGCGCCGGGGACCGGCTCAGGCGCAGGGTGGGGGCGGGGAGGGGACTCAGGGCGTGCGGGCGCCCGGGCGGCCAATGGGGAAAGAGGAGGCGGCGGGAGCGACCAATGGGGGAGGAGGAGGCGGCGGGAGCAGCCAATGGGGCGGCGCTGCGGGGAGATGGAGCGGCGGGGGCGAGCGGCGCTGTTGTTGTTGGCGGCGGGCGGCGCCGCTGGCGGGAGCGGCCGCGGGACCCGCCCGGGCACTCCCGGCCGCCCCGGAGCCTTCCTCGGTGCTGGCCGCGCTCTGCCGGGTCCCGGTGCCCCGGCGCTCCCCGCCCTGTCCGGCGGGAACTCGCTCTGGCCCCGATCCGGGGCTCAGCCCAGCCGGCGGGCGCGGGGCGGTGCCGCCTTCCCGGGGCCGTGCGCGCCCCGCGCTTCGTTCCCGCCGCGCTTGGCGGGCTCGCTGCCGCCCGGCAGGTGCTTCCCAGAGCCGGATCGACTTTCCCGTTTCCGTTCAGGACTTCCCACTTCCCAGCACGAACTTTTTTACTGCGGTGTATTAAACAGTTTTCTTAACTTTTTTTTTTCTTTTTTTTTTTTTTGGCATAACCCCTGGCAGATCCTGCCTTACTGGCTTATTCACCTTCCTTATTCATATCTTTACATAACTTACAAGTATTTTAATGGTGGGAATTATTTTAAAGGGTGCACCCTGAAATCTGAAGGCTCGCTGGGTGAACTGCATCCATGCACCTAAGTTTTCTTCTGATGGAGCAATTAGTGTATCAGGCTGAATAAAACACATACAACTTAAACCTGTAGGAAGTTGTAATAGATGTACAGCAAATAACTTGACATATTACATATTGTCTATGAAGCTTTGTTCATGCAGAAGCATTGCATATAAAACTTTTTCCCTAAATATTGATTTCCATCATATTGGGAGAGTAAGGGGTAAGGCTCTTCACACAGAACTGTCACAGGCTCTCAATTTTGTTCATGTGGGTTCAGAATCTCTCGCCTGGGATATGGATGGAGAAATAGAAGTGCTTTTATAGTTGCTATTTAATGGCTCTTCAAATGTCAGCTACTTGACAGAGATGAATTAGTCAGTGTGGTCTAAGTAGCAGTCCAAGGTGCAAAGTCTTTTAATGGTCAGCTACAGAAATAGAAACATTTGCTGATGACTAGTGTGTATAATTATAATTCTGGATATTGCACTGACTTTCATCCTATGGTCTTCAGCTGTTTAATAGAATTATATTATTTAGTTTTTTCCTATGATTGGGTACCTCTACACATACATTACACTTTCATTTTGTATAATTTATTATGTTCTCTGTTGGTATAACAACTTTTAGTTCAAACATTTAAAACCCCTTTTTTCAACTACCTATCCTAAAAAGTTCAAGTTGGGTTCAAGGAATAAAATCACGTTCTCTGCTTTATGTACCTTTACCACTAAGAAGTGGTTGCAGTGAACATTTCCTTCAGAATGCTTTTGCCATCCATGAGCTCTTTCTGCACGTATGTCTCTGAAGTGCTCACTAGGCCAGACACCTGAATTCATTCTCTTACCTAAGGCTGTGTTGTGCTGAAACCTGCCTGCCAAAAGAGCTGATCCTTGGGCACACCCTCCTCTCCGTGTGTGCTGGCAGGGCTGCTCCCAGGGCAGCAGGGCCAGCAGGAGCAGCGTTTGAAGGCTAACTCAGACCTAGTCCCAGCTGATCACACACCTCAAGAACCAATCCTACCCCTGAGAAGGCGGTAGGACACTGTTGGCTTCAGCTTTAGTGTTGGAGTAGTAACTCCTGACTGGTAGATTATGAGGCTCGTAAATAGCATTAATTTGAAACATTGGCATGTTTGGGATTTTATTTAAATGGGGCAATGGCCTGTTGTGCTCTGCACAGGCAGCCTCGTGTTTGGGATGAGCTGTGGGATCATGTGCACAGGGCTTCCTCTGGACCAGTTTCAGTCTGGAGCAATGG